CAGGAATAAACATAGGCAGGGCCCCTGAAAATCATGGGAGGCCCTATGTTTGGACATGAGAAGGACATGTGTCAACATTGCATCAAACTCCACCCCCACGTAAACACACACCGGCAAATGCACACACACGTAGAACCAGTAGGTGGTATTGAGGTCAATGCCCTGGTTGTGATCTTGTACTACTGGTTTGAAATGTATTCCCATTGTGGGAAACTGGGCAGAGGGTATGTAGACTCTCACACTCTTACAGCTGCGCAGACATCTATAATGACCTCAAAATAAAGTTTTATATTAAGAAAAAATAGTGTTGTCAAATCCCTTTCCAAAAGTCACTTTCAAGGAAAGGCATTTCAGGCCACAAATTCTAGTACATTTTGCAAATGGGCAAGTCTGGTACACAGGCTGGTAATGAGTGGCTTCGCATAGTCCAAAGAGTGACATCAAGGAAGACACCTTGGGTGGAAGTCCCTGACACTTACTGTGCACCCACTGCATGCCAGCGTCTCCTGTCACCTTCACCTATGAAGTAGATCCTGACATGCTTCCTCAGTGACTAGAAAGGGGCTGTGCCTTGCCCACTGTGGCCTGGCAGCAATGATGGGGTTCATATTCAAATGCCAGGCCCCGAGCCCAAAGCTGCCTCCAAGCGGCCCCTCTGCCCATCAAAGCATGCCCTCCCGCCTGTCTTTGTCCCTTTGTCGAGCACCCAGGAATCATCCGGGATCCAGTGATGACACAGATCCTGCTTCTGAGATTCTGTCTCTCCTCCCAGCTCCCAGCGAGCACAGAGATCATCCCAGGTTGAGCAGAAGAGCCCTGAGTCCTGTCACCAGAACCAAAGGTGGTCCGCGGTGATGTTCAGGTTTCTAGTTAGCGGGAAAACATTTCAGAATATAAATTTCAATCCATCTTTCACCATCATTCTCATCATCAGGTTGAGTTACCTATAAATTTCCCCCTTTTCTGAGGTGAATGGGGCTTGGACTCCGGGGTGTTTCCAGTCGGTCAGTGAGAAAGTGGCGACTGTATACCAGACAGGGAAGGCCCGGCTGCCTGTCCATTGGGGACAGTGAAATGAGACCTCTACTTAATTATTAAAATGAACAGATGTGGGTCTGATGGCACACATTCCAGGGAGTTAGAAGTTGGTGCACTGAGTGCACCCTCGGCCCTGGAGTTCTCCTGTCACGACCCCTCCACGTGTGTGCCTTTGCACACTTGTGCTGGGCTGTTATTACGTGGGTGATCCGAGGGCCTGCTCTGCCCTCCCAGCACTGACACAACATCCCTCTCCATCACTCTTCAAACTCTGGAAATGACAGTTGTTGGTGGCCAATGACTTCCCTAAGGTTGCTCCGTCCCCTTAGTGGTTGCGGGTAGAACATCACAGGTTTTCATGATAGAGGACGTGATCAGCGTCATTGGGAATGCCCACAGCTTTCTCTGTGTTTTGGATCCTGGCTTTGAATTAGATTCCTATATGTGAGAATCCTGAGTCAGGGTCTGAAAACTTAAAAATAACTTAGTACAAGTGACTTAGGCAAGTAATTGTTAAATTAATCTCCCAAACGGAAAACAACATTATCTTTTGCCTTTTAATTATTTGTTTTTCCATAATAATATCATATATTACGTCATTTGAATGAGAATGATGAATCTCTTGTTTATTTCCCTTTAGGCTTCCTTCTCCTTCCCCTTCCTCTTCTTCCCCTTCCTCTTCTTCCTCCTCCTCCTCCTCTTCCTCCTCCTCTTCCTCCTTCTTCTCCTCCAGGGGGATTGAACCCAGGGGCACTTAACCACTAAACCACATCCTCAGCAACTCCACCACCACCTTTTTAGAAAATTTATTTAGAGACAGGACCTTGCTAAGTTGCTGAGGCTGGCTTTGAAGTTGCATTCCTCCTGCCTCAGCCTCCCAAGATGCTGGGATTACAGGCATGTGCCACTGCGCCCAGCTCTTGGGGCTTACTTCTAAGGTTAGAAAATTCTTTCCACCCTGAGCCTTAGTAACTAATCAGCAGTGTTGACGTCTGTGGTTGATACGATATATATATATTTTTTTCACACATGGAAGACACAGAGCCTTTTGGATTTTGGGGTGAGGTGAGGCTTTCATCTCAGCACACAAAACAGGTCCTGTCTATATTTGTAGATTCCCCACTTCTGGGCCCGGCTCTTCCCTCTGAAGAGTGAAGCAGGAAGACCGGTGGCAGAGGTCACAGAGAGTGTGGCCTGCTGAGACCCTGGTTTTCCTAGATGGGAGGGGACTGATTTTTTTTGTTGACTGGCTGACTTTTTAAATGACTCTTCCATTTTCTTGAAATTTGTCCATTGTTTAAAGTTGTGGCCAAAGTCTTTTGAATAAAAATTTCCTAGAGCTATTTAAAAAAAATCACAGTATAGATAGATGCTGGTCCCAAAGTACTGCAGAGACAGAGGCAGGAGGTGCACAGGTTTGAGGCTAGCCTGGACAATTTTGCAAGAGTCTGCCTCAATACAAAACAAAATAAATAAAAATAAAACAAATAAAAAGCTTCCTGAAATGATACGCACATTCTTAAAAGGGACTGAAATTGCCTTGGCGTGAACAGAATGTCATCCAGTTGACGAGAGCAGACCTTAGGACAGAGATCTTCAGCTGGGGCAGTTTTTCCTACTAGGACACCTCTGGCACTGTCTGAAGACATTCTTGGTTGTGACAACTGGGAACTGGGTATTACTGGTGTCTAGTGGGCAGAGGCCAGGATTGCTAAAAATCCTACAGTACACAGTTCAGTATCCCCATCCCAACAAAGAATTATCTGGCCCCAAATGTCAATGGTCCCAAGGCTGAAAACCCCTTTCTTGGAATACATCCATGAGAGATGTATCTTGGAGCAGATGATCCCCCTGTGGACCGGACCAGGCTGGGATCAGGATGTGAGGTGGGCTGTGGAGAGGCAGGTGGAGGCAGAGTGGGGAGGCGCTGGAATGCCCCAGGGTGGGGTGGGGAGGAATTTGCATTCATTCCTCTGGGCAGCAGGAGACACTGGAGGCCTGGTGCTAGGGAGGGCGATCTTCCAAGGGCATCCAATTGCAGCAGGTGGATCGTTCTGGGAGGGATGTTCTCCTTCAACCATGCAGAGAGCCCTAGATGCCCCATCTCACTGCCGGGCTCTGGGCATCTCCCGGATGGTGTGTACACCTTCTACTCCAAGTCTGTAACCGGGACTGGGATCCTGTGCTGTGCATCCAGAGTCTGTCAGCACCCATTCTCCTTTCTTCCCCAGCAGCTGTGGGCCTCTGGAGGCTATTTTAGGGGACCCCAGCTGCAGCCCCGTTGCCCTCCAGGTTTCAGTTGGACCCAGCAGGATATTGAGGGAGGGAAGAGAAGGAAGACTGGGAATTAATTCTTTAGTTTGGCTGCTGCAAGGGGGCTTCTCTACACAGCTCCATCTCAGGTCTCAGGTCTCAGAGAATAATGACTCCTGTCTGCCACTAGCCCTGAGTTACTGTGATATTTATTCTACGTGGCAACTTGACTCAGCTGTGGTGTCCAGATACACGGTCCATCATCATTCTGGAAGTTTCTGTGAGGTTTTATTTTTCTTTTATTAACACATTAGTTATCATGAGGGTGTTTTTGATGGGGGTAACACTTAAGTCAGTGGATTTTGAGTAAAACAGATTGTCCTCCTAGTGTGGGTGGGCCTAATCCAATCAGGTGAAGACCTGAATGCATCAAAAGACTGGCCTTCTCCAATCAGGGAGGTGGTCCTAAGACTTCAACTATAATATCAGCTCTTCTCTGAGTCTCTAGCTTACAGCCCACCCTGCAGATTTGGACTTGCTAGCCTCTATCACCCTGAGAACCAATTCCCTAAGACAAATCCTTTCTTTCTATGTACACATCCCATTGGTCTTATTTCCCCAGGGAACCCTGGCTAAAAAGGGGACCTCGTGGCTTCCCTCAGTGCCACTGGTGTCTTTGTTAGCACTGTCCCTTTTTAAAAACTCTTTTTGGGTTATGTAATCTGAACACAGCAATTTCTGCCTGCTCAGCCATGGTCCCCGGCCTCCCTTGGAAGCCAGAGGGAGTGACCTTGGGTTGATCCTGCCTCTGTGGAGACTGCAGGCTGTTGGGGTTTATGGGAGTCGGAGTTGTTTGTTTACTTAAAGTCAGAAGAACACATTCTTATCTCTCCCATTTCCAGGGCAGCAAGCCCAAACCTCCAGGGTGGCAGATTCATTTCAGTCTGGTTTGTGGCCAAGTCAGAGCCATTTCCTGGTCCAAAAAAAAAAACAAAAAACAAAAAACAACAACAAAAAAAAACGGAGGCTGAGTTTTTCTCTGTTTGGGGGAGATTTTACAGCCCATTCCCATTTTAAAGGGAAGAACACTGAGGTACAGGGGTTCATGTACCCAGAGGCAACTTCTCATCTTCCCGTGCGCTCCCCCAGTGCTCTGCTCCCATCCCTGGGCCTGAACTCTGATCCTCACCGGGACCGGGCTGCATGGCGTAATGCCCATTGCCTGGCCTGGAGAGAGCCACTGGGCCCTGCTGACTTCCAGTGTCCAGGTGGGGACTTTCCTTTGTGCTCAGGCCCAGGATATCTGTGACCCAGGGGGATGCCTTTGATTCTTACAGCCAGTGAAGTGGGCACACAGATGGAGAAACGGTAGTCTGACACCTGCCCCACGTGCATGCGGGCGAGAGCTGCACCCAGGGCTGGCACCATCAGTTGCCCCTGACGGACACACATCACTTCCGAGAGGAAGCAGCTGCAGCCATCGTGGCTCCGGATTTAGAAGAGTGTCAGGTAGGGCATGCCAGTGTGGTGGAGTGAGGAGGGTCCCCATCCCTTCTGCATCCTCCCAGAAGGGGAAACTCATGGACAGGCCAGCATGGGAGGGGCAAAGGGACGATTCGGGAATTCTGGGGGTGGAGTCTGAGGGATGAGCCCTTATAAGACTCTGGCAGGCAGGCAGGCAGGCAAAAGGATTGGAGCTGAGCGTCACCATGGAGGGCAGCTTCACCGGGGGTGATGTGTACCAGAAGCACTTCCTGTCCAGGGACTACCTGGCCACCTACTACAGCTTTGAGGATGGCCCGTCGCCTGAGACGGAGATGATCAAGTTTAACCTGGAGTGTCTCCACAAGACCTTTGGCCCAGGTGAACAGAGGTGGCCCTCGCCCCTCAGCTTCTTTCCAGGGACCCAGATGGGAGACAGAGAAGGAGTGTCCTGGGGAGTCCAGGCTCCTCTCAGGGCTGCAGACGTGGGGTGGGGTAGCACCCTGGGCCTCTCCAGACAACTGTATTCCTGGAGGTCCGGTCTGTCTCCCACAGGCCTGAGAAGCTGAGGAGCTGTGAGGCCCAGGGCTCAGGATGTGCAGGGGAGGACCCAGCACCCTGTAGCTCCCAAACTGCTCTCCTGGAAGGCCTCAAGGAGAGGGGTGGGTGGGGAAGCCTCTCCGGATTATCACCAAGTCCAGCCCTGCTCTGAGGCCTGAGAAAGTCAAGGGCAAATGGACTGTGGTGACCTCGGGATGACACCATACCTGGAATGCATGGCCTGCTTGTGGCTGTGAGGACAGCCCTACTTGGGAAGTGCTGCATGGGGTCTCAGCCCTGTCACTAACCTGCTGGCAGGGCCCTCCGCCCAGCACCCTTGTCTGAACCGTCCGTAAGGTGGACCCATGGTGCTTGGCCATGTCCTCTTGGTTTGTGCAGTCGCGTCCTCACTATGGGTACTTGGCTGGAAAAAAGTGAGGGACAGAGAGTTGCCTGGTGGCCCAGGGGCAAGAGAGGACTTCTAGGCTACAAGGACTGATAGAGAAGGCAGGTGGGGAAAGCAGACCTCAGAGAGCAGAGAGGCGGCTCCAGCCTGGCTCTGCAGGGAATGCTGGGAGTCACGCTTCCCTCCAGCTCCAAGTGGGCCTCAACTCATTGGGGGTCTTCCCAGGTCATCTCCTCCTCAGCTCCCCGCTTTGCTGGCCCCACATTCCAGCCCCCATTAAGGAACCCACCTAGGTGGGGCTGATGTCCAGGGAGTCTGAGACTGAAAGGGCCCTTGCCTGGGGACACTGCCGCCTGAATTCTTTCCAGAACAGGGCTTGGGGTTCCAGTTCCCAGTAAGATACGGGGCGAATTGTTGACCCTTTTCTCCGAGTCAGATTTCTAATGTGTAAAATGGGAATAACAGGAGTAGTGGCCCCACAGGTGGCTCTGAGCTGTAAATGGAAATTAATTTATGTCATGTGTGTGGTATGGGTCTTACCTGCTGGAAGCTGCCAAGCCAGAAAAACCCTCGTGCTTGGTGCTGCTTCCCCTTGGGGAAGGCCAGGGCGTGTGTCCTGCAGGCCCTTCTGTCTCTTTTAGGTTTCATTTCTCTTACCTAACCCCCCTCTCTCTCACAGGGGGTCTTCGGGGGGACACATTGATCGACATTGGCTCAGGCCCCACCATCTACCAAGTGCTGGCTGCCTGCGAGGCCTTTGCAGACATCACGCTTTCGGACTTCACTGACCGCAACCGGGAGGAGCTGGAGAAGTGGCTGAGAAAGGAGCCAGGGGCCCACGACTGGACCTCGGTGCTGAAATTTGCCTGCGAGCTGGAAGGGAACAGGTGGGGATGCAGCTTGGGAGGGTCCCCTGCTGCCCCCCAGCCCCCGTCCTTCTCAGAGGGCTCTCTAGCCTCAGTTGTCCCTGACATTTTGAGGACAGTAGGACTCTCAAGAATGGGACTAGATGTCTTGGGGTGGGGATAGAGTAGATGGATCTCTGAGCTGTAGGATCATAGGAGTGTTGAAGTGTGACATAGCCAAGTATGACCACTGAAGGCCAGGTGACAGGGCCCTTCCTCCCTCCCTCCCTCCCTCCTTCTTTCCTTCTGCCCTCTCTCTTTCCTTTCTCCTCCCTCCCTCTCTCCCTCTTCTCTCCCTCCCCCTTCCTTCCCTCCCCATTCCCTCCCTCCCTCTATTGTCTCCCCTGCCATGAGAGGCCTTTGCCCACCACCACCCTGAGCTTAGGCACAGTGAAGGTTCAACCATGCTTCTCCTCTCCTAGCTCCCTGCATCTCCACCTGAGAGAATCACTAATATGGATTACATATTTCTCATTGCCTTGCTTTGCAAAAATAATTTTTATCACATAGTGATATATGTCTAAACAATCTGTGCTTAGTTTTTACAAACTTTTGAACTGTCAACCAAATAATCTGCTCCCTGTTAGCTTCCTGGATCTGCTTTTCATCTCCCCACACGGTATTTTTAAAATAGCCATACCACAAATCCATCTGCAGTTAATTCTTTAATTCATCCCTCCATCTCACCTTGCTGATCCACCAGCCCACACCTGGGGCTCTTCTTCCTTCCTGGGGATCAAATAAAGGGGGCTCACTGGAAGGTTCCTATCACTCCCTCATCGTTTTCCTGCTGGGGGACCAAGGCCTAGATTGTGGAAGAGCCACTGACCGGTCACACAGGGACTCAGGGACTCCCCCATCTGCAGTTCGCAGGGTGCGTGTGTGGGCAGGCGAGTTCCCTTCACAGCCTGGACGTGCCTTCCCTGAGCCCCGCCCTCTCTCCGCAGTGGCGGCTGGCAGGAGAAGGCTGAGAAGCTGCGGGCCAGGGTGAAACGTGTGCTCAAGTGCGATGCCAACCTGAGCAACCCGCTGGCCCCGGTGGTGCTGCCCCCTGCCGACTGCGTGCTCACCCTGCTGGCCATGGAGTGCGCCTGCTGCAGCCTCGACGCCTACCGTGCTGCGCTCCGCAACCTCGCCTCGCTGCTCAAGCCAGGCGGCCACCTGGTGACCACAGTCACGCTGAACATCTCGTCCTACATGGTGGGGAAGTTCAAGTTCTCCTGCGTGTCCATGAAGAAGGAGGAGGTGGAGCAGGCGGTGCTGGACGCTGGCTTTGACATCCAGCGACTCCTGCACAGCCCCCATAACTACTCCACCACCAATGCTCCCAACAACGGCATGTGCTTCATCGTGGCCCGCAAGAGGTCTGGGCCCTGAGCCAGGAGGGCCAGCACCTGTCCACATACTAGGGACGGATGGGTAGCATCTAATGCCCCTGCTTTCAGCACTCTCATCTTTTCTGAAAGTCTGAGATTCTAACATCCTCACTTTAGAGTTCTAAGTTTCCAACATCCTGTGTTCTAGGGTCCTGGGAGTGGAAAATTCCATTTTTCTAGTACACTAAACTATCTGACTCCCAGGGACTGTAGAGTCTCCTGGACATGGTTTCTGTCTTTACACAGGATGTCAGAGACAAGGAAGCCAGTAGATAGTGGTGTGTTGTAAATCTTCAAATCCAGCTCTAAAGAGAGAATAGCACTGATTAGCAGTGATAGGCAATTTCTGTGGTGTGAATGATCCAACCATGGTTGATTTCAAGCTACCAGTGGTTTAACAACTCATAAAACTCCTAAAGATTTTGCAATTGGCTCTCATGAGCTGATAGGAGGTGACCTGAACATACCACTGCCTCCCCTTTGCAGATTTAGCAAATAAAACTACAGGGTGTCCAGTTAATTGAATTTTAGATGAATAAAAATAATATTTTTTTTAAAAAAAGAATAAGTATGTCTCCCAAATTGCCTAGTACATACTTATCCTAAATATACTTGGGTTGTTTATCTGGAGTTCAAGTATAACTGGCTGTCTTCAAGGTCATCCAGCAACCCAGATGCAGACCTATTTTTCTGGCTCCAAAGTGAGAAGAGGGGCTGCCCAGTAGCCAGTCTGCTCCCAGCACAGAGGAACCTTTGTGTGGGTTAGAAAAAGCTCTCCTACAGGTGAGTAAATGGCAGACAGGTGTCTTCTGGGTTGAAAAGTTGCTCCTTGTCCCACTGGAAGGACTCTGAGAACAAGATGCCACTTCTGGGAAGACCAGTTGGAGAAGAAAGCCCCCTCCTTAAGGCCAACTTGGTCCCACCCCTGAGCACCTACCTGCTGCTGTCGTCTCCTGCCACCACCTGCACCTTTGTATGGGGCATATGCTGCAGAGCTGGCTGCAGCAACCCTGATAAGGTCTGGATTCTGGCCTCAGCCCTGCTCCATTGATCTGGGCCTTATTCCCTCTCTGTGGAGCAGGGGAAATGGGACCTCATCTAAATAATCTTCAAGAAAGTTCTAGGAGCAGAAAATCATTGACATGAAAGTGCTTTGAGAAGTAAAAGGATTTGCACAAATTGACCTATGGATATTATTTTCCCAAAGGGTTAGAGCTGGAACAGTCTTTCAAAATTGACTTTTTTGATGAACAAAAATAATACTTATTTTTAAGAATAAGTATGTCTCCCAAATTGCATGGAACATACTTATCCAATCCCTACTTTTCACAATCCAGGAAACTAAGGGCAGTGGTTGCCTAGAGACACAGACAGCTGGTAACAGAGTTGGAACAAGAACACAGATGTCCTGACTCTTGGTCCATTCGGTGCACCAGCTGTCTCTGGACCTGGAAGCACAGGAGTCCCCTTGCCCCATCTAGCACAGGCTTGTTTCAGCACCCATCCCCCCTCAGCATCCCTACACTTCCCAGCTTACACTTGCTCCAAGCAACACACAAACCCCAGCTCCTCTCTTCTGACTTGTCTGGAGGGGCACTGCATATGTTAGTTTTAGACATGCTCCTGGTGGAACCATCAACAGGCAGAGGAGGTAGGGGCCTGGCAGGCAGGGTCCAGGAATTGCAAAAATAAGGCCCTGATAGGGAGTTGTGAGGGAATATGAGGTTTCTGCCCAAAGCAGCCAACGAGGGGCTAGTTTCTGCAAGGTGGCCAACAGACAGTTGCCCTGGAGGAGGATTGCTAAGGAAAGGAAGCACCCCTTGTGACTTCCTTCAGTGTCAGGACTGCTCATGGAAAGCCATCTGGCCTGAACATGGGCAAAAGACACAGAGAATCCAAACACATGCCTCGCTCCCAGGGCAGCTTAGTGTGCAGAGTGGATTGGCTGCTGTGGGTGAGGTGGTGGGGAAGTGAGTCTTCAGGGGCTTTTGGTCCTGGGCCAGGCTCGATTGAATGGCTCTGCTGTGCACCTGCCACATAGCCACTGCAGATACTGTGTGCTTTCTACATGCCTTAATAAAACATTTTGTTTCACTTTAAGCAGCACGGAAACTGTGGTATGTTGGTAAAACTGTGGGGGAAGGAATCTTTAGAGGAGAAAACTTCATGTGACTTCTGTTTGGAATCAGGGTTGTTGGACTTTTATGGGTCATGACTCCTTTTATGTAGCAGTTCACTAAATTGCTGCTACATAGGGTATGGGGCAGGTTTCCGGATGTATCAGGAATGCAAACAATGCAAAACTCAACGGTAGTGGCTTCATCAATTTTTTTCCATTGAGGTTTCATAACAGTGCCAGGTATTGGTTCAGTGACTCAATGGTAACAGAGCTAGCATCTCTGCAATTAACTCAATCTTTTATCAGGGTGGCAAAATGGATGCCATAGCTCCAGGCACCATGCTTAGATTTAGATTTAAGGCAGGAAAATGAAGGCAAAAGGGACTTTATCTTAATCTCTGTCCCTCTTAGGAGGAAAGCAAAAACTACTCCAGAAGACTTCTGACAGACTTCAGTTATGTCATGTGACCCTGTATCAACAGCAAGGTAGTCTGGGAAAGGAAGCATGTCACTTTCCTAATCTCCATAGTGGAGATGGTCTGGGGAGAAGCAGATTGGCAGTCTGTGGGTTAGCCAGCAGCCAACCTCAACTGCATCCCTTTTGGGTTGAACATGGCTGGCTTTGTTTCTTCTCTCCAAACCTACTTGTCTGAAGCCCCTGGCCTCCTCCATTCCATTCCCTGTGGCATCTGCAGGAGAGCCCTCTGCTGGACAGGAGAGAGAAACCAGAACTTGCTGGGTCAACATCCTGGGCCTCTGGTGGACGCCTCCTCCAGGACCCGAGCTCCCTGGGATGGAGGTGATACCTTCCTCCTGCACACATAGCTTGTGTCCCAGTGGTGGTATCATCTAACTGGCTCTGCAGGACTCAACTGCACTCCAAGGGTCATTCTGCTGTCACCTGAATGCTTCAGGCTTCTTCTTCTTCTATGAGTTCCTTAGTGGGATCTTCTGCAGCTGGGCAAGGACTTGTTCTTAGAAATTGTGGAATCAACCTTCCCACCACCAATTCTAGTAAGCTCTGTCCCCAGGTGACTGCTGCTTTTTGGACACCAGTTTGGGAAGAGTAGGAGGCTGGGGAGAGGCTGAGTCCAGTATGGTGGTTTCACATACCCGTCCCCAAGCCTCTGAGGAGAGAAGGGGCCCCTCATCTCTCTTCCACACTGAGAACCTCTGACTCATGATGGACTTCTTGCCTGGTTCATCCAGGGAAAGTTTTATCCCTTGCTACCTCTCCTTGGGGGCACTTCTGACTTGGGCTCTTTCTTGCCATGTCTTCTCTACCCTCTTCACTGTGATATGCATGAATCCATCATCTTCTGGCCTCCTCTGCCCCTTTTTGGGTGTTTATTTCACCAGGGCTGATCTTGTTCAATGCCCGCCCTGGAGGCAGAGGTCAGATAACACACACATATACTAATATTCATAGTTTACTCAGTCTGTTGACTAATTGCCAGTCATAGCCCCCAAAGTCCCAGAGTGGAATAAGAAGACAGATGATATAGGCTGTTGGTTACAGAATCCCAGATTCTACACTCTGGGTGGTACCCCCACTCCAGCCTGCCACTCCACCACATTAGGAGAATCAAGTCTCATGTATACCAAGCCAGACTTGGAGAGCCACTTTCACAATGATAACATAGGCTCAAAAGGATGTGGCTTTCCCAACCTCCCAATCCCACATCTTTACAGGAGTGGAGCTGGGGTGGTGGCCATATAGCAGGAAATGAGAGCCAGGACATTCAGATTTAGAAGCAAAACTTAATTAGTGGTGCAAAGGCCCAGAGGGATAATTCCCAAAGGCTGAGTCCTGAGTGTAGCAGAGCTTTAACTTTTATACATAAGCAAGTTTTGGGTACATCAAGGCAAGAGAGTTGGTGCAATTCTATTGGAGGTTGCATCTTACATTCTTTATATGGGTACAAGCTTGCCAACAGCCTAGGGACTCTTTGCTCATATAGCTTAGGGACTTTTTACTGCTCTAAGCCTAAAGGGGGACTGTTCTGGTCCACTATATCGTTCCCTGCTTCTGCTACTGCAGTTATCTGTTACAGCCACCTGTTAGCCACTGCAAGCCTCTATGGTTAAATGTCAGTAAGCAGAGCTTACATATTTGCTAGTTTTAGCATTCATCAACAATTCTTGCTTGGATGAATGGTTATTCTTATTATTCTGATTGTCAAACAGTGATTGTGTGTCAATCAAAACCATAGCCTGTTAGCTTTTAAACTGCTAAAGTTGCCATTCTGTTCTTCTACAGTAAAAAGGCAAGATGAGAAGGAAATCTGTGACAAGTGACCCATGGCTGGCATCCTTTATCTGTGAGCACAGCCTCTCCCCCTGATGCATTCTAGGCCATCAGCGTTCCTTAGGCTCATGTGCAGAAGTGCGGCCTATCTGTGGCTCCCAGCTAAGCTCAAAAACTCAAAATCTATTCTTTTTCCCACAACTCTGATAAAGGGTAAGGTCAGGGGACATGGTTGTTTAGCAGAGACATTTTAATTTGCTTATCTATAAAGGAAAGGGACAAAAGTTGGCCATCCTGGTCACAGCAGCTTAGGCAGCAGAAAGACTAGGAGACATTTCCAAATGAAACTGCGATTTCTAAAGGAAATGACCTTAAGACTTAAAGTAGTGGGTAGGTACAGGAAGGAGACAGACCCAGGCCTGTTAGAGGATCAAAGGCTGCAGGAGGTGGCTCTGAGCTCTTGCACATGTGGGTATGCTGTGTGTGGGGTAGTGCACAGGGCGACTTGAGTCGAGATCCTAATAGGAAGAACTGGAGGTTAAAGACACATGGATTGGAACGAAAGATCAGCCGCATGCCAGAGATGGCCAGTTGCCTTCCCCTGTCCGTTATATATCCACAACTCTTTCATGGT